GCTCATGCACGGCGTGTGCGTCGGATTTTTGTGCATGCTCAAATATTGTGCGCGGAGCTCTGACGCATAAGGTACAGCGCCAGACACGCGCAGAGAGCGCGCTGCGACGCAAACGCCAGACCCACCGCGAGCACACGATGGGTATTTCGTTGTATGTCCATCGCTGAAGGTGTAGTGAACACCTAAGCGCACACCTAAGCACACACCTAGCGTGCTTCTAACGCATGTCCAGGCGAACATGCAGCGAATATGGGCGTGTTGAACGAGTGCTGAACGAGTCTGTAGCGCGCCCAGCGTTTTCTAGCGTGTTCCTAGCGTGTACGCAGCGTGTAGCCATGGGGTATATAAACGAGTCCCGCCCCACCTCCTCATCATCACTTCTCCTCCGACCCTCATGGGTGATGACAGAGATTCCTGCTGATCGTGTCTAAAGAACCACCTCAGAAGATGGAGGATCCCGACAGCTGCGACTACAATACGAAATCGCGTTCTACAACATCAGCAGAACCTCATGGAACTGGCACTTCACGCAAGTCCATGTCATCAGGAGAAGGAGAAAGAGAAGAGGTCAACGGAGGTTCTGGGTCGACCGTGGATCGGTAGGCGACGACAGTTTGGCCTGTATGACCAGCTACTTTGTTGAACTCCGTAACGAAGACAAGGCAGCCTTCAAGAACTTCATGTGGATCCCCCCGAGATGTTCGACGAGCCTGCTAACAGCAGTGGGTCCGAGGATCACCAAGCAAGAATAACAACCTACAGAGAGCCCTCGACCCTGGCCTGAAGCTTGCCCTCACTCTGCGGCATCTGCTTCTGGGACCAAATATCACTCAATGTCCTATGGTGGGGGGTGCCTCACAACACCCCAATATCCCTGCTCATCCCAGAAGTGGACCTGTGCGGTTGGCTGTGCGTTGGCTGTGCACTGGCTGTGCGTTGAATGCGGCGGTGCATGCGCGGACCATTCGTTCTGTGCGCTGCAACAGGCTGTGCATTCGTTGGATTTTTTAACATGTGCGCCCTGTATACGCGCAGCACGCTAGCAACACGCGTGTGCATTCGTTGTCAACTCACTAGCTTCTCCAAATCCTGACAAAAGTTGGGCGCACAAGCGACGCACTGATCATTTCCATTTTTTTATTAATTTCAGTGCGCGGGCCCGTCGTCGTGTATGTGTGACTGGGGCAACGGTATTGCTCTAATGAAGAGTAAACGTTTAATTGACGAATGAATCGAATCAATCACTTGTTTTATTTATAAGAGGAGATATATCTCTATGCTCAAGGCAAAAATTTTATGAAATTTCCAGCACCCATAATTAGGTTACCCACAAAATATTTGAATTTTTATGTAAAAATGATATTTGTAGACATTTTTCAATTACCAGACAGTAGTGAGGATACAAAATTTTCGCCACATGTTAAGCACCAATATATACCAAAATAGCGCATCAGGATTTTTTTAAGTTTCATAATTTACCGAGAAAAATTAAAAAAACTGCCTAAAATTCAAGTTATAAGACATAACTCATAAAATACGGCACTTAATAATAATCCCTGACGCGCTTTTTTACAGCAATATGTTACCATTAAAACGAGTGTAAAATTAAACTATTCGCGAGTTGTTAATCACGAGAGAAATATCTATTTATACCATCGACTACTAAGTCAGAAATTGGAACGGAGAAATCAGCGTTTTTCTGACGTCAGCCGTGGCTCACTACACTTGTACGCCGTACGCGGGCAAGCATAACGCTCTGACAGTTCACATGTACCGTTATATACTGGAGAAATAAGCATGTACACAGGTGGCACATAGTGTTAGCCATCGAATAAAGTTGAAAATGAAAAATCGGTAACAATTTTCCTAAAACCTTGAGAGTATCCTTTTATAGTGCAGTGGCCGAAGCTGGAAAATGGCTCTATTTAAGGAGATACCCTACCGGAGGTATAACAAGCTGGGACTGGTCTCATTTGAACGCTGTCTAGATCCCTAGTTATAAAAGCCATGTTCTAGTTGCAGCAACCTGGGCCAAGCATGCCGAATTAACGCCTTTTTTACGGTAAAATCTGAAAAAAATGACATTTTCAGTTACTTGCTTATTTTATGAAATCAGCTTCATTATATTTTACAATTGATGGTTATATCAATGTATTTCATTGAAATAGATATGTAGCAATGTATTTGAGGCAGTTTTATGCTGCTAGGGGGGTTAAGGGGCCAAAATTATACCCCAAATATTGGCATTTTTTGGCGATTTGGACCAAAATAATGTATATTTTGTTGCACTATTCCACCAATACATGTTATCACTGTGTCAGATCTGACTGTATTCATGTGCCTAGATGTGCTATTGATAAAAATATCAGTTGAAGCATGGTAAACAGGTACAACATGGTACATTAACCCCTTGTTTGCGACAGACCTGAAAACTAATTTTTCAGTTTACTTGGATATTTGATAAAATCAGCTGTGCAGATGTTTAGAACTGATGGTTATATCAATGTTTTTGTTAAAATATAAATGAAGCAATGCATTTTTAGGCAGTTCTATGCTGTTAAGGGGGTTAGACCTCTGATTCCACGGGCATACTGCTTTCCTTAGAGCATTTGGTTAACCGTGGGAGCTGCGTATACATCTGATGAAGTTAGGATGTTCGTAAGTCCACCATCTCCGAATATCTTGCCAATGCTTGGCCAGGAAAGCACATTATCAGATGCATTCCTCCCAGCCTCATCGTTACTTCTGGCCCACCAGTGGTTCCGGTCTGCTCCACAGAATTTGCTGTGCCTTGCTGTAGATGGCAAGGTCTGCTGTAATGAGTATGTGATGCTGCCCAACCCAGCTTCAACTGATTTTTATATCAATGATACACCCAGACTGATGGATAGGCCTTCAGTCAGGTAGACCTATGATACTGTTGTACCATGTATTGGTGGCAGTATGCATGGAAACGTTCTTTATTGTGGTCAAAATTATCAAAAATTGCCAGATTTGTTGGTATATTTTTGGGCCCTTAACCCCCTTAACAGCATAGAACTGCCTAAATACATTTTCATCTATATTTTAATCAAAAACATTGATATAACCATCAGTTCTAAACATCTGCACGGCTGATTTTATAAAATATGAAAGTAAACTGAAAAAGTCGTTTTCAGGTCTGTCGCAAACAAGGGGTTAATGTAGCTGAGAGGGTCTATGTCCCCCAGGGTACTGCCGGAACGTACCCTGGTACTAAATACTACTATCTAATATGCTGGACGACCTCGCCTACTCCACTAACGAGTCTAGGGAGTCCGCCTATGCCTACTCCCTAACCTAACCCTAACACTAACCCTAACCTAACCCTAACCCTAACCCTAACCCTAACCCTAACCCTAACCCTAACCCTAACCATATCAGCTAGATAGTTACCAGGGTACGTTCCGGTATACCGGATTTACCGGATTATTCAGATTTTACCGTAAAAAAGGGGTTAATTCGGCATGTTGGCCAAGGTTGCTGCAACTACAACATGGCTTTTCATAAACTAGGGATCCAGACGGTTAAAGCGATTATTGCGAGAATTTTCCAGTGTTTTCACCACTTTCATGACACCTACCGCGTTATTGCTTGAGTAACAGCAATTGTCTAGAGTAACAATAAAATGTCTTAGAACCTTCGTATTCACCAAAAACTGCCAGTTTCGAACTACTGGTTTCAAACTAGTTTCGTAAACATTCGTTTTATGTTATCTTGAACTAGGCGGAAGTGTGGATTAGCTTGTGGCGGCACCGCTTATCTGCCATAGACAAAGCATGGCTCTCTCAAATCATGCACTTGTTTTCAATTAATCACCGACACAAATACCAATTACGTTTACCAATTCTGCCATTAGGCATTGTCGCGACACGATAAAATGCATTGCTGTTACGATGTGTTCATATCCAATTTTCTATGCTATAACTGCATAAAATCATAGTCTTTTTAATGTTGGTGTAATCAGTGATATTTTCGCTGTCAGGTGAGACTATATTCAGCTATATTTAGTTTTTCTGAGCAAAAATCTCGCAATAGTCATTTTAAAATGAGACCAGTCCCAGCTTGTTATACCTCCGGTAGGGGTGCACTTAATTTTTGGGGTCTCGGCCACTGCACTATAAACATGGATTCCTGAACTGCCTCAATGTTGTCACAGTGTTCTCATATTCATGGCACATCCATAATCTAGAAAGCCAATAAGCCTGGATAGCCGAACGGATACAGCATAAGCGTCACGGCTCAAAGGTCCTTGGATCGAATCCCATCCGATTTTTTATTATTTACCTGTTTTCTGTATTTTTCTATCTTTATCCATTTAACTATTTTTTTCCAATTAATGCAAATATTTACATGATTTATTTACAACAATTTAATAACAAATAATTTTTACAACAATTAATTTTTTTAATAGGGTTAGGGTTAGGGTCACAATGCACCATAAAACAGGAGTTTCAGGCACGTGATTTGTATCAACCAATGGTATTTGGGCGGTATGCAGAATGCAGAAGGTTGCTGAAATGATGTGTACGCAACTGCGTATCTGCATATCTGCGCCTAACAAATTAAAGGTGTCACTACGCACGACTTAAATGTTACGTTTATAACCGTAGCAACAGACCTCAGATGAGCCCAGATGCTCTGCAGCTCTTGTTATCATATATCATATAAATATATTATTATGATTATAGTTGCACGTATTTCAATAATTGATGTGACTCTAAGTAAATGTTGATGATATCTATTAGCACACATGTGTTTTGTCATAGATGTAATAGGCCAGCTGTATGCATTAACATGGTATATGCTCCAGTGAATGGCTAGTTATTAATATGAGTCATTATATGAGTTATTTTCTGTATTAGGTAAATATTGTGGTTGTTATCATGTAATTATCATTTAAGAATATTGGTTGTATTTTGCTGAACCGGTGACCAATTTGGTTTCTATGTAATGCAGTCTCGTTTCTACTCAATGTATAGGTGTTGGCAAGAACCACAAGGATGCGGCAAGCGTAAGAGCCTGGCATCCTATACCTGCTGCATGTGGCCTGTACTATTTTGAGGTGAAAATAGTCAGCAAAGGCAGAGATGGTTACATGGGAATTGGCCTGTCAGCACAGGGCATAAACCTGAACAGACTTCCCGGTAAGTACCTGCTGAATCTCCGCACCGTGTTCAGACTAGGGCTGCAGAATAACATTGCTAGAAAATTTGAGAGTATATTAGCCTGCGTATTTCACAGTAATAGTATATGCTGACATATTTCTGTTGGAAGACATTTGATTAGCTCTTTTTTGTAAACATCGAAAATGAATAATCATCGGTGCTGTCACAACAATGTATGGCTGAACCTACCGATTTTCTGATACTATATTATATATATGCCTGCATATTCAAACCCAAACTAATAGTGTAATATACAGGCTTTCCAGCGGCCCTAAAATTCCTAAAAATTCCTAAAATTTTGAGCTCGCCCTAAAATTCCTAAAAAACTTTAAAAACGTATGCAATTCCTAAAAAAGGGGCTAAAATTTTATTCAAATTCCTAAAAAAAAAATTCACAGATATGTTTGGAGTTTTTGGTGATGAGATGATGAACTTTTGGTTTGTAATTATGTCTAATGCAGGGTCTCCAACCATTCCTCATTCTGCGGAATCATTACGATTTCTAGGCTTAATTTCCGCATTCTGCAGCGGCAAGGTTATATTCATCATTTCAGTTGCACTGTAAAAAATTTGCACTGATTGTTCGCATTGTTCGCTTGGACACATTGTTTTTTTCAGGCATTTTGTATCTGGCATGTCTACGGTAAATGGAACAGCCTAGTCAGACAGGCGCTGTCTGCAAGGTGTCGCGTAGTTTGTCTGCTAATTAGACAAGAGTAGTAGGGTTGAGTCTAGGGTTGAGATAGTATCAGAAAATCGGTAGGTTCAGCCATTCATTGTTGTGACAGCACCGATGATTATTCATTTTCGATGTTTACAAAAAAGAGCTAATCAAATGTCTTCCAACAGAAATATGTCAGCATATACTATTACT